GGCCACATGACCCGCCATCGACCGTTTCCAGACTTCCGTCGGTGTCGGCCAAAAATACGGGCTCGCTGCGTCGTGCGGCCGACCGCCTCCGCATCCCGGCTGCACCGCTGGCCGGCCGATACCACGGCCCCTCACCAACCGCGGCCGACACCACCGGGCCCTCACCAATCGGGCCGACACCAGACGCTGGTGCCGCGCCAATAAGCCTGATGCACCAGGCCCGCGCTGGCACCGGTGCACGGCGAGCAACAGCCCGTCAGCGGCCGGCGGCCGGTGTCGGGCTGACCAGTGATCGCTCAGCACAGGTGCCGCCGCCGCCTCCCGCGATCAACAGGCAGCCCGGCTGGCCGACGGCCAACGCGCCGCCCCCGCCACCTCGCGCGGATTCTGGAAACCGGCGCCGGCGGCGGCCTGGCTGTGGCCGTCGGCCCAATCAATACCATCAACACACAGCGCGGCGGCGGCGGCGGCGGCGGCGGCGGCGGCGACGCGTATACACGGCCGGCGGGCGGCTCTGGGACAGCCGCCCCCGCCCCCGCTCCGGCCACCGCCCGGACCATCCGCCAGATAATAGTGATGAAGATGGACGCGGCGTCAGCGGCGGCCGATGAGCGTTTTGTCGCCATCAGCCGGCGGCGCGAGTGGTCATTATTGGGCTGGCGGTCACGGAGAGATGGCCACTCGCCCTCAGCGCTGGCTGCCACTGCCCGGCGCAATCTGTCACTGTCTGAAGAGAGGTGGCGAGGCTATCGTTGTCTGGCGCTGTCTGCAATTATATGACGCTGTCTGTCATTGTCCGGCGCTGCGCTAACAGTCTGACGCAATCTGTCATTATTTGTCGCCGCCCCAGCCACTGTTGGCTATTGTATGGCGCTGTCTGCCATTTTCTGCCATTTTCTGGCGCTGCCCTGTCACTGTCTGTCTTTTTCGGACGCTATCTGGGATTACCAGTCGCTGTCTGATGCAAGTCTCTGGACAAGACACAGACAGCTGCGTCAGTCGCCGGACAGGACATTGAAAACGGACAGCAGCGGGCAGCCAGTACGCTGGCGCAAGCAGAGATCGGGTGGGCAACGGCAAAGTTACGGACGGGCTTAATACCGCATGGAAAGAATCTCAAACTAACGGCCTGCTACAAACTGCTCGACTTAGTTAATGATATTCATGCCAGAGGGCATTAAACAATGTGGATATTGCACAGAAGCACCGCAGTTAGCGATGTTCCAAGAGTGATTGCTTTGAAATAGTAGAGAAGAGGAGCAATATTCATTCTTCAGTTCTGAGAAACGATGAACTTGAAAGTAAGTGCAATAGGCACGCTGATATTTTCGGATTTGTTACATGATAACGAATTTCCCTCAGCTAAACTCCATTATCAACACGGCATTACTCTTGAAAGCGAAGCCAAAAAAGGAGAATGCATTTAAAAGCTGATAAAACCACTGAGATAACAAACATTTTAAAATCAAATACCCCGTTCGGTTTCCGTGTCTGGCCACAGGTCAGACGTCCGTAGCCTGTCACTGGCCCGGCTCCGTTTCGTGCGCTCCAAATGAGTTATGGGCGCGATAGGCGCTTCATTTCATGCCTAAAATAACAGAAACGATACCGCCAGCCACGGCTACCTCAATCAAATTTTAAAATGAAATAAGAAATTGTAAAAGACCACACTATGCGGCGGCACTGCTCCGATGGCTGCGCTGTTCCATGGGCCGACCAGCCCTAAGTCTGCAGACTGAGGCGGCGCGGCGCGCCACTGAACCCCTCTCCCTACCCTGCCGCGTCCTGCAGAGTCGGCAGGGCGGCCGCGGACGGACCGCTGCTCCGGCGCTGACGCAACCCCCGTTCATCGGCGCGCCTGCAGCCGCTCGGCGGCCCATCGCCGCCGTCACGGAGCCGGGCCGCCGCCGCGCCTGACGAGACCCAGCACAAATAAATAGGGGAGCCGGGTGGCTGCAGGGCGACCGGAGGCGCCCACGGGGCTGCGCCGGGTGGTGGGGTCAGACCCCGGTGGCAGGCGTCTCTCCGTTCGACCTCTGGATGGTCCGCAATGCCGATCAGATGAGCATCATGCAGTGTGCTCATGGCCTCGGAACACAAACCGTTATGGACGGTCCAGCACCAGCAGAGAACGATAAGACAAGAAGGGGACGCCGGGACGAGGCGCAGATGGCAACATAGAGGCCATCTCAATCAACCGTTTGAGGAAGCGCCACATATTTCTCGGAAGGAAACCTACGAGTACATCGCAGATCGGGATCAACAGCAGCGAGCCCAGCAGCACCAGTACAAACAAAAGCATTCCGAGCTGTCCTGACCTGTTCGAACGTCTTCCTGGTGCCGTCCACGCCACGGCGAGCTTCAGGCCCTAGCCCCACCCCCATCAGACCCAGGTCAAAGCCAATGTGTCGTGTCCTAGACCGGGGTCCGACCCACCACGACGGGCCTACTGCGGCGCAAACCAGACCCCAGTTTATCCCGCCACCACTGCGCCGCGCACGGACAGCAACAAATGGGCGCATTACGGGGATTACCATCGGCCGTAAGTAATTATCTGGTGCCCGGTCCATGAGTGGCGGCGGCCAGTGAATTTTTCATCAGCCATCGGATCAGCACGGCAGCGGGTCGGCCGTCCATCCATCGACCGTGGCAGTGGCGGGGCTGACCCGTCGACCGCGCCCAACCCGAGCGGCACAGTCGCACCCCGCCCGGCCGGCACCGGGAAGCGGTGGGTGCCAAACTGGGGAGGTGGGTGCTGATGGATGGTACACCGGTGCACCGGTGATGGGTGCCAAAATGGGGCGGTGGGAGGTAATGGGTGCCGGGCCGACGCCGAAACTACTCGACAGCGGTTCGATCCAGAACCCTGAACGTTCGGGCGCTGCCCACTTAGAGGGCAAATCGCAGAGACTGATAAAAACAGTACAGAACGACGGCCGTCCGGGCAGAAGCGCTGCAAGAACTGCCCAAAAACGAGATCCAGAACGCTCGGTGCCAAATAGCGCGCAAGATAGACGCCCCGAAACTGTGCCAGCACCACGGCATCAGTTGCACCCAATGTCAGCACCAATTTTGGTGTCATTGGAGTCGGTGCACGCTCAATATCGGTGATACAGTCGGTGTCAGTGATACGCATAGCAGTCAGCAGCGCTGTCACCCTCAGTATCACGTGCAGAGCGGCGCCGGTGGACGTCGCCATCGGACGTGGGGGCTGCCACAGCCGAGCGCCGCTGAGCTGCCGTCAAGGCCGGCCACTCGGGGGCTCACGAAGGAGGCGGGCGTGGAAACGGAGACGGACAGGACACGGACACGGACGGACAGGACGGGAAACGGACACGGAGTACGGACAGGAGGACCACCTTAGTATCCGCCGTGAAACCTCAATAAACCAGCAGTAACGGCAGATCGCTTTACTGATCCCTTACGACAGATCCCTCACTGGACAAGGCGACAAGGTCCTGGAGCATCGACCAGCAGTGGCAGGACACTGCACTTACACTGTCGAATGACCTATCACGGAACCAGCGTCCAGCAGTGTCGGATGGCCAGTCAGTGGCCCAGCATTTCCGGCTGACCCGTCACCAAACCAGCGATATCGGATGACCGGCCACTGCTCTGGAGCGATATGGGACGGCTTCTCAGCCCCGGTACAGCCAAACCGATCTAAAGGGCATTCAAAACGGCTGAAGGCGTGAGACTCGCGGGCGCGGCCCTCACCTCACTCAACCGACAGGCGGGCCATTGTTATCCGCAGTGAATGCAGGTCGGCTGAATTCATTCAGCACACTGGAGCCAATCGAACGGTTCGAGGAGCATACAAACACATTCAATACAGGTCAATGCAAACGATCGCTGTGTGACTAAAACGCTAATAAGGGCAATGACGAAATGCCGGTATTTGTCAGCAATTTAGCATCAATGGCAACAATCCTTCAATCAATAAGGTCAAAATAGAACGCTACCAGTCAACGGACAGCAGAAACGGTTCACTCGATGGACAAAATCGCTGTCAGTTATTATAACGAACAACTTTATGGCCTTTGCTCTTTTCACGTATATAAACAATCGAATAGTGGACATTTGCACCAGTTCAACATTGTTTGGATGGGGCATATGCCCGAATGTCTGGTTTTTGCCTAGTTTATCAGATATCCAAACAAAACTGGAATGTAAAATTCCGCAAGTCTTACCAATTAAAAAATAAAACATGGCCCCTACCTTATCATTGATAATATATTTTTATACCGGTTTAAGCAGTCTGGTTCCAGTTTGGACGGCTCGTAACCAATCAAATCAATACCAATCGATTTGGTCATAACAACGTATAGCTGTCAAATGTCCATATGCATCACGTTCGGACTGGCAGCGTTGCCCCTGAGCTCGCCCCCATGACCGTTCCGCTGCCCGGCTGTCCCTGCCGGCTCGCCACGATTGGCCCCGCGGGCTCGCAGAGCCGCCGGCGGCGCTGTCCGTTGGCCAGGCGCGATGTTTGCTCAGTCAATCGGCCGAGCGGGGCCGGCGCCAGTGCCGATAACGCTCCGAGCCGAGCATGGCGGCCGTCATGACTCATGACTCACCGGCCGGCCGGCTCCTCAGTTCACATACTGCCTCGGTGGACACGGCCCCGCCCGGCGGCACACGGCGGCACATCGGAACGGGCCGAGCCACTCGGTCATCAGTGATCCACGCCCAAAACCCACACCACACAACAATGACCGAATAGCATCGGATTCCGGGACCACAAACGGTTGAAAGTATTATAAGATGGCCCATGGATACACAATGTCACATCAAGGCCTAAGCTGAACACATGGCGACACCATATGACCTACCCTACTGCAGTGCTGGTGATCTATGACCTGCCCTAAAGCTGCATTGGCAGGTGGCCTCACATGGCTAGCCCTACAGTGGAGCGGTGTTGGCACCCGTGACCCACCCTACAAAGCTGTGCTGGGACCCCAGGTCAGGTCAGCCCCAAAAAGCGGCGGCGTGCCACTCACCTTGATGGAGTCGAAGCAGGCGGTCACCTTCCCGTTCTGCACCTCCACGTGCGGCAGTGGGTGGGCAAACTTGCACTCGGTGTCACTGCGACTGCACTTGTTGCGCTGGTACTCTCTACAGACCTCCAGCTGCAACCAACGCGAGTCCTTTATATTCATGCTCAGAGCGTTCACCATGTGGAAGTTGGCCATGACGTCGAAGGACGGCGGCAGCGGCAGCGGTCGGCGGCTGACGCGGCGGTCACCGGACGCGGAGGCGCATCCAGCCGCGCGGTCAGCGGCGGCGGCAGCGGTCCGCTCCGGCCGGCACTGCTGCGCTCCCTCACCTCACCGCCGCCGGAGGCACACCCGACGCGCACAGCGCAAGCTTAGCTTGGTCTGCAACGCCGCCTCTACGGCCACAGCAAGCTTGCGGAGACTATCTACTGGGTAGCGCTGTAAGCGGGGCCAGGATTGGCAGACTGGTTGGTATAAGCGCTCTGATTGGCTGCTGCGGCGAAAGAAGCTAGGCGATTGGCCGGTCGTCCTCAAGGTTATCAAGCTGCAATGAGAAAGAAAAGGAGTTAAAGCATCAACCTACACATTCCAAAGCTGGGAGATAGAGGTAGCGATGCTGCACCGGGCGGCGGCGGCGGAGGAGTGGTGTGGCCGCCGCCGCCGCCCCCCGGCTGCCGTGCAGGGGACGGTCGTCCACAAGCAGCACCCCCGCCGCTGACAGTGCGCCACTCTAAGCCAAGCACGCCACGGTTGCGTCAGATTAGCAGCGGATCTCTACGAGGCGGCCCGTTACCCTGCGCTGGCTGGCGCGGCTACTGAGCGCGGCTGCAGCGGCGGCGGCGTGAGGTGTGCCGGGCAGGCCGACTGGGTCGGCCCGCGCCACCCGCCCCGGTTCCAGCCCTACCGCCAGTCCCCATATCCCACACTCGGCCCGACCACCGACCGCGCCGGCCGGGCACGCTATCACGGCGAGCGCAGCCGGCCGGCGCGGCGGCGTGCCGGCCGCCGACCACGCCCGCCGACCACCCCGCCCGAGCGCGGCGCCGCTCACAAAGGACACCAGACGGAGAGGGAGAGGACTACACACACAGCCATACTCTCCAACACACACCCTCACACTCTCACACACCCACAGCAGAGGGATGAGGACAGCGCGCATGTCGCCCCACCTACCGGCCGCGTCTGTGCGTCGCCGCGCCGGCCAACAAAATGGCAGCTGCAGCGGAGCCGGCAGCGCCCCCTCCGTCACCGTGCAACACCGCCGGCCGAGTGGGGGCCGGCGGCCGCCGACGCCGCTGCAACACGGCGGCGGCGCGGCGCGGCGCGCGCAGCCGAGCGGCCCCGCCTGCCGGCCGGCCGGCGCCAGCCGACCGACCGGCCGCCGCCGCCGGAAAAATCGCCAGAAACTTCCGCACATGGTACCGCGAAATGCCGCGGCGGTGAGCCACCACAAATGGCGAAGGTTGATAAAATGTAGCTGGCAATGATGCAATCGCTGAGATTTTCATCAACAATCCGTAGCTACGGAGCATATATCCATACAGGTCTGTCAAAATTTCAACTTGAGTTATGAAAATTTGCCTTCAAATAGAAGACCAAAATAGCATAATCACGTTAAGTTAAACATTGAAACTAAATTCAATTTCAGCTTCGATCAAAGGGAATCTTTGAATGCTGAATGTACCTAATAAGCGCTCAGCTAAGCGATTACGCGCCGAACGCGTGCCTAATCATAGATCGCATATCATTTCAGGCTTGATGTAGG